CAGAGATTACAGAGATGACCAGCAAAAAAGATCAGGGTCTGCAGCACTGATTTGCAAGGAAGGTTTAAAACCATTCATTTGGCCAAGAGATGACTTAAATACTAGAGGTGACATTCTGGGCCCACTGAACTCAGTGGGAATTTTGCCAAGGATAGAGAGGAATTTAGGGAGTATAAGTAAGAGTAATGGGATAAAATTAAGAAAGAGAAAATTAAAGTCAAATATGAAGAAGACATTCCCATCTTAATCTGCAGAATAGTGTTTCAGGGTAGTCCCATCACTTTGGACATTTAAGAGAAGGCTTGGTAGGATTTGATTTTTATCAGTAAATGTTAGTAAACGTGAATTTCGCCATACAAACAGAAACCACTGAAATATATTTCCATCAAGGATCATTCAAATTTACAGCTAGACAAAGTAAGAAGAATGCTGCTTGAGAACATATTGGAGTTTGATGTAAAGATATTTATTTTGTATATTTTGACATGTGATGTTGACAGTTGTGTTAATGATTATAAAGCTTTAGCTGTTTGAATCTCAACATCTATTATCATTAAATAATTGTCTGACACTCCATAATTTCCCACAGCTGTGAATATGTAAATTGGAAAAAAAAATGCTTAAGTCAACATTATCTGTCAAAATTATAAAAAAAACAAAAATCAGCATCTGCCAAGTCTCTTTTACTGGGCTGGACAAAGCACCAGGGACCAATCCTGTGTTGGCTGTAAAATGGATTGGGTGACCTAGTAGGTCTTTTCCAACTTTAACTCCGGTGAATCTAAGCAGCAGCAGATGTTCCTGTTGGTGATGGTTGCGGTAGTTTTGTTAGGCAGGCTTTATACTAAGAATCACGGGTCAGATCATCTAGTGGTGTAATTCAGCGTAGCTCCACTGACTTCAATGGAGCTAGGCCATTGTACACACCAGCTGAGGATCTGCCCCAGGTTTTGTACTGGAGAAGATTTCTTTGCAACTCTGCCTTGTGAATGTATTTCTCTTTCCTTTCCTCAGGCCTTCCTGGGCAAGCTGCTCTTTGGAGAGACTCGTGCACTCTTGTGGTGGGTAGGAATCAGCGTGACACTCGGTGGACTCCTGCTGCTGCACACAGCTTCACCTCACACAGAACAGCAGCATTCTGAGAAGAAGGACAAATAGAAACTAAACCCACTGGGTTAGTTTCTGTCAACAATCTAATGACAAAATCAGCCTTCAGGCCTTTCTGCTGTAGGTGGGTGATGCTCCTGCAGACTTGCTCCTTGGATGATTCTCCCCCGTATGTTGCTGTCATGGTTACAGGGTGAACTGTGCTTTGAACTTTTTTTTTTTTTACTCCCTCCCCTTAAGTGACAGGCCTGACTTCCTGCTCCTCACTCCGGGCGGAACAATGCAGTCCAACCAGTCTGGCTGTGGGTGTCAGACTCCTTGTTTCTCAACCATGTGAACTGAGGCCCAGCTGAGTTAGGCATCCATAAGCCTTTTCGCTCTGGGGACCTGCGACCAGCAAAGTGGTTAAAAGTGACTCAGAACAGCTTCTTCAAAATAATGCATTATATATTCATTGCCACAGAGCAAAGGGTACAGACATTAAAGGGCTACATGCAGATTTCCCTTAGCCTAAGCCTTAATCTTTCCTCGCCAGCTTTCATGTGTCTCAGCCAGCCCTGTTGTCTGTGTCTACATTGGGAGAAGCTGACTGCCCCTGCTTCAATTGCTGTGTCTCTGTGTCCCCTTGCCAGCCTGTCAGCTCTCACTGACACTCCCAGGGCAGCCTCTTGCCACTCCTGTAGCCCTCGCCCTTTTCTGGGCCTAGGGTCCTCTAATGTTTAGTATCCTCCTTTTGATCCTAGGCTTAGCCTTAGGAAGAGCAATCCACTCTAGCCTTCCTGGAGTCTAGCAGGGGTTATTCCCCCAATAAACAGCTTCTCCATTGCTTCCTCAGAACCCTCATCTATGTTATTGTGTTACCTTTCCTGCTTGGGTCCTCTAACAACCCTTTTGCTCTAACTCCATGGTAAGTGACCCATCATAAACACACACAGCCATGCACCATATTTATAGAAAATAGTACAGCTATTTCCTGGTTGCATTGTCTGTTTAGGACCTCAGGGCTGGATTAACGTGAACTAAAGCATTTGTACTGTACCATGAAGTAGAACAACACTGAAACTGTTTCATTTCTGTACGCTGTGAGGCACCTAGCACTATGTTCTTGGTAACTAATATGTGCCACAGTGTTGGCAGGTGAATATTCAAGGAGTCAGGTGGGAACTCTTGTCTCTCCAAGCCAATGGTACAATTCTTGGAGCAATTCCTGTTTTACATTTCACCAGGTGAAGGTATGATACTGTGTATCGAATCATAGGCCCGAACTCTGCTCCTGTTTATTCCTATGTGAATACTTTGACGTCACTAGGGTTGCGTGGATGTACTTGAAAGCAAGATTTGGCTAAGAGTCTGTAGAGGTGGAAGAGACCTGTTAATTCATCTGCTGTAGTCTGTTCACTGACCAGGGTGGGATTGTTCCCCTGTCTAGTTCTAAATGTCCCAAACAATGTGTCTTCCACCGCTTCCTTTAGAGGCTCATCACAGGATACCTCACTGCTAAGAAGTTTTTTCTATATCTTTAGCCTAAATATTACTTGCATCCTACGAGCCCCAGTCATATCTTGTCCTATTCAACACACTAAAAAAAAACTCCTGCCCCTCCTGAGTGTTTACATTCTTCACGTATTTATAGCCCGTTATTGTGTCTCCTCCATTTTGTCAATGCTTAACCAAGTTACATGCATTTAAATCTTTCTTTGTAAACCAATCCCACTAGACTCCACATCAGTTTTGTTGTTGAACTTCCTCAAATGTGTATCTGTACTCAGTGCTGTATCTGTCTCATAAGGTGCCCTGATCTGAGTACGATATTCCAGGCTTAGTGACATCAGAGCTTTATGGGCCATGACTGTTTTCCCTTTCCTCTGGCAATAGAGCGGTTTTGGGTTTTGGAAAGAATGTTAAATGGTAATAGTGGTGTCCAGGTCCATTTTCTATGGGTCGATAACAAATTTACTTTGCCACTGGAGTGGATTGCGTACAGGTCAGAAACAAAAACAAAAAAATGGAAAACAAAGGGATGAAATGAGGAAACTTGGACTCCTTAGTATTTCAGTAAATATTTATAGGTTTGTAAGAGTCTATGCTCCCTGTAAGGGCAGGCCATAATCGTTCAGAAAGGAAGGAGTCAATGGAAAGTCAGGAGTCACTGGAGTCAGGGGAAAGACTTTGCTTACAGGATATTAAATTGCCAAAGGGCAGATGCAGTATCATAGTCTCTGGACCAAAATTTTGCACTCAGTTATACCAGTGTAAATCTAAAGTAACTTCACTGACCTCCATAGTTAGTTTGGATTCATGCCCGTATTGCTGAGTATAGACTTTGGTCCTCTAGGTTTCTGAATGTGTATAGGTTCAGTACATCACATACTGCAGAAAGTGTAACTTTATAAGGTAGTGTGACAGACCCAGACCAGTGGGGTACAGGAGTCTGGTAGAGGGCAAATATACTGGTCACTGGATGAGTAGTTTTCTGTTCCCTGAGTGACCAGAGCAGGGGCTGCACTAGAGTAATCAGGAACCTGCTGGAACCAGTTAAGGCAGGCAGGCTAATTAGGACACTTGGAGCCAATTAAGAAGAAGCTTCTAGAATCAATTAAGGCAGGCTAATCAGGGCACCTGGGTTTTTAAAAGGAGCTCACTTCAGTTGTGGTGGAAGTGTGAGGAACTGGGAGCAAGAGGCACAAGGAGCTGAGAGTGAGAGGGTGTGCAGCTGGAGGACTGAGGAGCACAAGCATTATCAGACACCAGGAGGAAGGTCTTGTGGTGAGAATAAGGAAGGTGTTTGGAGGAGGCCATGGGGAAGTAGCCCAGGGAGTTGTAGCTGTCATGCATTATAGACAGCTGCAGTCCACAGGGGCCTAGGCTGGAACCCAGAGTAGAGGGCGGGCCCGGGTTCTCCCCAAACCTCCCAATTGACCTGGACTGTGGGTTCTCCCAGAGGGGAAGGTCTCTGGGCTGTTCCCCAACTCACATGGTGAATCTCTGAGGCAAGAAAATCCGCCAATAAGCGCAGGACCCACCAAGATAGAGGAGGAACTTTGTCACAGTAGGTAGATTCTTTCTTCACCACATCTTTTATGAAGGCAATTTTTAACAACAATCCTAATTCAGAGAAACAAAGGTACATAAGGATTTGCAACTCTGTGCTGGATATTTCACCATTTTGTTCTGAGATCACCAGTATCATCTTATAACTATGGGAACTGAGGCCTTTAGCCATAATTTTAGCATTCTGCATGTTCATAAGAGATGGGAGGCACCACTTTGGCCAAACATTAGGGTTACCAAGTTTATCAGTCTTCTAGATCTGCAAGTGATCATACTGACTCTAAACATATATTCTGCTGGTCTTGAGAGGCCCGTCTGTAACTAACGTTTAAAATGAGTTTGGTAGCTGTCCGCAAATTCAGAGAGCCAGTTCTCATCTAGGGCCCATCTGAGTCACCTGCATTATCAGAACCCAGGCCAGTGAGTATCCGTGGCTTGTCACCACTGGCAAATCTGCTCCGTATCTGCCAGACGTCTAAAGGTAACCTGCAAAGGATGGGTGCGGGTGGAAGTTACGCTTGCACCATTTTTCTCTTCTTGCTGGTGTATAAAATAGGCCTGATTTGTTTTTGTTTTTTGTTTTTAAATGGTTTTTGGGTGTGTGTGGTTTTTTTCAGTGGTTTTTTTCACATTGGAAATTCAAGTCTTTTGTGTAATCTGAAGACTCTCTTGATAACTGCAGAGGTAGCAGGATTCTGACGCACAGAGACCTAGACTGGCTGAGAGGGCAAATGATTCTTGTTTGCTTACACTGGTTAAAACCTATTGAATAGACTAGGTCCAACCTATTTAATTCAGACATGCGGACAACGTAGGAATTTCCGGGCTGGATCAGACCAATGCTGGCTCTAAAAAGGGCCAGCACCAGCTGCTTCAGAAGAAGTTGTAAGAACTGAGCAGTAGGCAGATGTAAAGAATGGGAAGATGGGAAAAGCTGCTTGTGAAAGTTTCGGCACTTCTGCCCTTTCAGCTGAAGGCTGAAAAAAGCTGCCTCTCCACATTTCTGAGCCAAACAAGAAATTCTCCAGCTAGAACCGGGAAGGCAAGACTTGGCATTCCTCATATTTCTAAGAAAATCACAATTGTGGAAAAAGCTTGTTTAAAGAAAACAAATTCTCTTGGGCCGTCATATATCATGAAGAAGTAAAATAAGAACACACCCAATTTATATCCCTTTGTATGCCACCTTTACAGTCTTATGCATTCTCAGTCAGCTGTACGCTGTAGCCTCCTTATTAAGAAGTTCAGGAGAAGAACCAGAGTGTTAAAATTAGGGAGGTGTTTATCTTTACAAAGCCTTAACCATCAGGTTGCCAGAGCGCTGGCACCCTCTGTCCTATGGCATTCATGTGGCTGGCAGCCATCCCTTCATCTCAGGAGAACTATTCAGCATTGTTCTTTGGTTCCTTTAGCACCAAGTGTTCGTTTTGAATAAGAAACAGAAAGTTTCTTACATCCAGACAAAGAAATCGAAAGCCAAGTCTGACACTCTGGGCCAGATCCTCACGGAGCCACACTGATTTACACCGGTTGAGAATCTTAGCCTGCTCTCCTTAATTCACAACTGCCCTGCAGAAAGGAGAGGAATTATTGTTCACATTACAGTTTACGTTAAAATGATCCTTTTGTTTGTCAACTCACTGGTTGACAGAATTAGAAAACAAAAAGGAGAAATAACTGGACTATTATCAAGATGGAAGGAGGTTTAATATAACACTTACCCTTTTTAACCAGTGGTGCAGGTAAGCCGGTACGGTCAGGTACGCCGTACCATTAAGACATTTATTGCCGATACGCTGTACCGGAAAGACACATTTTCAAGAATGAATTGTAGAGCCTTGCGCAGATACAAATTTATAGCCAGGGATGTGGATATCCGCAGATAGAAATCTGTATCTGCTGAACTGCAGGGCTCTCCCAGGAACCACAGCGGTCAAAGGAGCAGAACGTGGAGCCGCCGCTCCCAGGAGCCAGCACCCCACAGCAGCAGCTCTTCCAGCACGGCTGTACTGCCCAAGCCCTTCCACACAACTGCGTCTCCTAGCTGGAGTCTGTACAGCCCCGCTGGAAGAC